AAAGTATAAAACCTTCACACTCGACCTCTGTGTGTAGCAGGAACCTGCTGAGGATGAACCGGTGACTCACTGTGGATTATCGTATGTAAACCTCTCTGAGCCACAGATCTGCGTCTGTTCGTCAGTTCACATTGTCAGTAAATACGAGTCATGTGGTTAATAATTGAACATATGAGATATTAATGAAGATGTGTCTGAAATCCTGTCTCACTCTTCAGATCAACATGTTGGAGGCCCAAAGTCATTAACAATATCAGGGAGTAAAGAATTAAGAAAATAAACATAAATGCACATTTTATATTATATTGCAAACATGAACATGTTCACAGGCGTGTCTGTAAAGGGTTAAAGGGTTACATCAGCCCGTTTTTATTGGCCAACCAATAAATCTGTCTGGCTCTAATAATGAGACTTCACAGGGAATCTGAACATGTCTCCCCACTGGTTTTATCTTTATTACCATAACATCATTACAGACGCTGAGTGAGAGCTTCAGGTGCAGTTTGAAATCTGGATTCAGACGTGTGTCTGTGATACATCCACATTGTAATAAGGGAATATTTGTATTCAGGTATTTAAATGAACAACTTGTACTAATTTAAAAGAAAAACTCATGAAAGCATTCGGCAGCTTTTTGTTTGTTGTAGACGACGTTTCTCTGGGAACCTTTGAATCTCATTATGAGGAACATAAAATAAAATAAAATGAAAAACAATAGAATGAAAGCTCTGCATCACAAAGTGAGAACGTCCCTCAGGACTCCTCATTCCTCCGTCAGCGCCCAGGACGCCCTCAAACTCAACCAAGCTGCGCCAAATGTCTGATGGTTAAAACATTTTCCATTGATTGAACGTCTACTTTGGTTTTGTAGGAGGACATGGAGGAGGCGGGATTTATAAGCTGCCAGGGGGCGATCGCAACAGTTCGGCTTCACTTTTAGGGATTTCGTGTTTGAACGATGAACAGGATCAGTTATTTTTCTGTATTCAGGGTTTAAAAAACATCAACGTGTTGTTCGATGAGTGTTAACATGTTGTTTCATCACTGTGATCTGTTATTTACGGCTCTTTACAGGTCTCAGTCCACTTTCTGCTGCTGATCTCTGCTTCACCGCACAGCTTTCTGCTAATCTGCCACCTCCGATCAATCAATCAATCAGCAGATCCATTCACTGGGACTCTCTCTCTCTCTCTCTCTCTCTGTCTCTTTAAAGCACTCCTATCTGGACAGGGAAACTTCTCTGATTCTGAGAAACATAGCAGGAAAACCTACGCACCTGCTGACCAAGGTGACTCCCGCTTCACTACTGCACGCCTCCCCCACGTCTCCTGCATGTCAGCTTTCTGTCCTCCACTTCTGATTTGTTATGCCACCGCCATTCCCTCGTACACGTCTCATTGGTCACTGTCCGCTGAGTTTTCGATTACCCCCCCCCCTCTCTCCCTCTGTACACGCATGTTGTTTTCACTGTGGGTGATTTCAGTCATGGCCACCCTGCATGCTCCCTCCTCTTCTTTCCACCTTCATCCTCCTGTTTCCCGTCGCCCTCTCCTCCTCTGGAGCGTGGAGGGAAGTTGACTCCGTGTGTTGTCGGCTTCGTTACGATGGTGTGAAATCCCCAAAGCTCTACAGAGGCTGCACCTCCTCAGATTTCAGTTCTAAACTTTGCTGTTTCCACCCGAAAGTCCTAAATTTGATCATCTCCCAAAGTTTGGTGTCATGATCCATGATTCAGTGCAGCACTGGTGCAGCTGCAGCCTGATTAAAACAATCGATCAGCGTTAGCTTTTGGAAATCAAACGTCTGCCCGCGGGTGGAAATGCAGCGGAACCATCAGATACATGTTGAAACTCTCTGCTGATGACTGAACATCATTCTGATTAAAAAAGAGAATCATCCCATTTAGCTGCGACTCACTCTTAGTGGAGCACAAATGTAAATAGATGTTAAATATGTTCAAATCTGAGCACGGTTAGAATCCAGATGATCTAACAGTGTCGTCAGTTTTCACGCCCACAGTGTTTGAGCCTTTGTTCTGTAAAGCTTTGGAATCCCTGCTCATCTCTCCGACTGCACGTGTGTGTGTGTGTGTGATGTTTGACGGTTTTTAATGCTGTTACATGTCAGAGCTGCAGCTTCTCGAGGATGCGATCACACAGGAGTTTCTGTTAAAGTTTGTTAAATCAGGAGCGAGTAAAGTTCACGCTCGCCTGCCGTCAGCTTCATTGTTTTCTAATTAAATGTCAGAGTTCTAACGGATCAGATTCCAGAAGAGTCTCGTTAGACGAACGAAGCTGCTGAACACTGTGTGATCGTCCTGTGAAGCTGCTTCAGCGTTATTTGTACTGAAAGTTTGTACAAAACGTTCTGGGATTAAACTCACCTGAGTTAAAGAAACTGCCGCTGCAGGTAAGTGTCGACGCTTCTGTGTCTGAAAAAGAGAAACAAAACAAGTGAGCGTTTTTTAACATCCATCGTTCCTGTTTAACTCTGGATAAAAGGAAGAAGATTAATATTAAGTTGGTTTTTCTTTCTTCAGATGTGACTGTTGTGTTTGAAATTAGTTTTTTCTTTGTGAATAACGAACTGGGAATCAAGTCTGCAACGGTCCGGGACGTACTTGTGAACATAATATCTCAGAGACGCCTTGAGGGACTTTCATCAGATTTGGTGCAAATGCTCAGTTGATGATTTTGATGGTGGAAGGTCAAAGGTGACCTCATGTCCTCAGGAAGCCCCCAGAGGAAACTTCATCACATCTGATTCAAACACTCACTTGGACTCGAGGACGACCTGATTGGAATTTGTCTCGTTGTTCTGTTCGCCGTTGAGTGTTTGGAGCTCGGCCATTTGCAGTAATGGAGCTTAGCGGTTGAGCTGGTGATCAATGCAGATAATTAGAAAAGCTGCTGCTACAATAGTTTGTTGTTGTTGTTGAACCCAGATCAGGAAGCTGGTGACACGTTTCAGTTCGAACATGAAACACTTTTTAAATACGGAGGTTTAATTGAAATTTGACCGTTTCTGTTGTGACGCTTCATTACGTTCTTACTCTTGAAAATATGTCACTGTAATGTTGCAACGAATCAGCTGCTCTTAAGCTAAAGCTGCAGACGTCTTAATGACAAAGTTTTATTTATCTGTGTGTGTGTGTGTGTGTGTGGGAATTAGATAGAGAGTAAGTACGGAGGCTTTCTTCTGATTGGATCTGCGATTTCATGTTTGATTGGATGATAAAGCAGATGAGGCTGTTTTATTGGACGTCGGAGGAATGTGCCGGATCCGCAGGGATAATCTTCTTTGGTGCAGCGAGGGGGAGATTCCCTCGGAGCATCGTGTGTGTGTGCATGTGCAACACAAACAAACACACTCTGGCAAAGTTCTTTGTTTCCTGTTCGGACGACTTCTTCCTGTCGTGTGTTTGAGTCCTCGCTCATTTTCACGTGGGTTGAATTGAGTCTATGATCCAGCAGACGACCGGAATTATCGCATCCGTCTGAGCCCAGTGGATCAAAATTAAGTGAACGTCGTCAGATTAATGTTTTACTTTTAAGATCCATTTATCTCAGAGCAGCTGCCGTTTGGCTTCAAATCCAGCTTTTACTGCTGCGGATTTCAACCAAGCCCAGATAACGTGCGCCGTCGTCTTTCAGGGTTTCCCTCCCGCACTGAGTCCGGCTCCACTGATTCGGGGCACGAAGCGCTCTGAGAACGTGATTTTGATTTAATTTCAGCATCCAGATTAGGGGAGGGGGGGGGGTGCAGCTGCAAACGGGCCCTGAGATTGCAGACAGATTACGAGCCACTGGGGCCAGTCTAATTCCTGCAGCAGTGATTAGGTTGAGGGTGCAATTATCCTCACTTATTAGAGCAGCTTCCAGTGTGTGTGTGTGTGTAGTTCTGCATATAGGATAGTCTTTCTATGTCAGTATTACAACTGCCTCAGCAATAACTGCAGCCCCCCCCACACACACACACACACACACACACACACACACACACACA